CCAATTTTTCATTTACGTGTAAAAAAGTCCCTCTTTCTTCCTTAGGTTTGAGTTAGTCATGGAATAGGATTTGAGATAAATCTTTGTGGACGAGAGTTTTATGTTTTGTTGTTAAGAAAAACAAAAGTCATGCGTGACATAGATGTTCATTCTTTTACTCAACAAACATTTAGAAACTTTTTTCTTCTTATTTGTACACCTTTTTTCCTTAAGACTTTTACAGCAAAATTTGAATGTCATTCATATAAGAAGAGATTTATATGGAGGTTGTCATTGAACACTGGACCACAAGACCCCATTAGCATGTATCTATGATAAGTATAACAGCATCTTAGAGGAATTTTATCTGGTATACAAGAGCCTCTTTATCTTGAAAATGTTGAATTTTTTAGAATGCTTGGGTATCAGCTTAGAATTTCATTCAGTTTTCACCTACCTTGAAGTTTCCTTTGAAATATAAACCTTCTGGGCTTCAGGCAGCATGAAGGCAGAGCAGTAAGCTCATAAGTCAGAGCTGTAGCAACCCTGGAGGTTGCTAGCGGTTATGGTTTTAATGTTCACAAGAACAGCAAGAAAGCCTTGTGCTACCCTGAAATGGGGAACTGTAATCGATCCCTGCATAAAGCAGAGACCCTGGAAGGGCAGCTCCCGCAAAGAAAGGAGAACTAGGAAAATGTTTTCGCCATCCCCCAAAAATGACAGGAAAGTTCTGAGCTGGGTTCTGGGTATAGCCCCTTATGAGAAATTCAAGGCCCAATCAATACCATAGATGAGTTATATAGTCCAAATTTACACTACTTACGTAGATGTAGTAACCTCCAAATCAATACATTAATGTAAAATTGGCCCAGGACTGGTGAAACCTAGAGTCCTGTCAGAAGCAAATACAAAGTAGCCCTTTAACAACAGTTGTAAAATTTAGGGGCTTCAATACCCGCAACTGAAAAGAAAATCTCTACTGAAAGTGAGCTCACACTTTAACAGGAGAGAGAAAGATGCACTGTGAAGGATAGTCAAAAGACATTGCGAAGAGGAGGACTGGTACTGTCCCCACCCCCACTAAGAACTTAAGATAGAACAGTCTGAATGAGACTATGAAATATATTTAAAATGTTGAAAGAAAAATGTCAGCTTTCCACTTTCCAGTCAAGACAGGTGGGATCCCATTGTTTAATCTTCTAGAAATACCAGTGTAAGATACTAGTACTGATGGTGAGACATCAAGAGTAAAGTATCTTGGAGTTAAAACTAAACATTCTTCAGTCATTTAAATACCAGCACAACAGGCCTGTTTGCCAGTTCACTAACTACCTTGTTGCCACAGTAGTTGACTGCCTTTTTTTCAGCAAAGGGAGTAACGATTGAGAGGGTAGATGAGTGAGTCACAATATAACTTGGCTCAGACAAGAAGAATAAAGCAAGGATTACTATGCAGATGGAATTGGCTGTTACTATGATGACAGTAATGTGTTAAGGGGCTTTTCCAGCACAGGATCCTGAAGAAACTTAACCCAAATCTACATCTGTTCCCTTTTCATTGAAATCTAACCTCCCATTGGCCACAGAGCCTCAAGCCTAATATTTGAGGACAGTCAGCATGCACGCAAGAATGCTTTACCTCATGAGTAGGAAAGAGAATTTGGGTCACAGAAACCAGGGCAAATTTTCTGCTCTTAAAATGAAAAGAAAAAAAGAAACAGTAAACAAATTAATGAATGTCAGTTTACTTTCCTATTGGCATTTCCGTTTGACTAACTCCTGAATAGGAATCCTCACAAGAGAAGTTGAATCTTAGTCCAACCCTGTCCTCAAAAGTATTGATATGATATTAGAACTAGTAAGTTTTAATTTTCATAAACCTGATATTATAAGAAGCAACCTTTAAATTTTTCCATCTATAGTTAACTACTGATTTTTCAAGTTTCCCCCTTGGATTCTCTTCTTTTGGGGATGTCATAATTGTGGCTATTTTCTCATTAATTGGCATTTCCCAATGGAGATGATAAACAAAACTTGAAAAGAGAAAAACTTTTTCCCCCTGTGAGCAGCTCTACTTAGTGTATGCTGGTGAGAGTTGAAACTAATGGCTAGCTTAGGGATATGTAGGGTACTTTAGATTTCAGCTTCCATTCTGCCTTTTTCCCCATATGAACAAGAAGAAAATCAAAACGTCATTCCCACAAGGTTAAACTATATAGATCCAGATAAAGCCAGATAAAGATTAATCTAGCTTTTATATATATTTGTATAATGTTTACATTCAAGAGCTCATGTGGGAAAATTAGTATTTTTCTAGTACTACAGAGCATAAAATCAGAGGAAAAAAAATGTTGGGGATTGAGGAAATGAAATTTTGAATTCCATGTGGGTTTTAGCTGTTTTGGCTAATTTAATATCAATGTGTAGAACAATTAAATCAAGCCCAGCTGCCAGAACTGTAGTATAAAACATACTATAAAATCTTTTCATCAAAACACTCATTACTACTTATTGGCTTATAGACTATTTGAAACACTATTTAAAAGTTAAAAAGATACCATTCATTCTTTTTTTTTCCTTTGAGACAGAGTTTCACTCTTGTCACCCAGGCTCGAATACAATGGCGCAATTTTGGCTCACTGCAACCTCTGCCTCCCAGATTCAAGCGATTCTCCTGCCTCAGCCTCTGAGTAGCTAGGATTACAGGCGCACACCACCACACCCAGCTAATTTTTGTATTTTTAGTAGAGACGGGTTTTGCCGTGTTAGCCAGGCTGGTTTTGAACTCCTGATCGCTGGTGATCCACCTGCCTCTGCCTCCCAAAGTGCTGTGATTACAGGCGTGAGCCACCATGCCCTGCCCATTCATTCTTAATGTAAAATACATTATGCCTTAAATATGGGAATTAAATACCTAGTAGAGATTTGAACCTGGAAGAATTTTTCTGGTATACTGACATTGACTGTAAAAGCTTTTGTGAATCAACTTATGAACATTATACAAAGTAAAGTTAAGCTTGCTCCTACTGGGAGCCTTTCTTGAGTTTATTTATATCACATAATTATATTCCTTAAAAAGAGAATTGATTCTCTCTGCTTAAATAAAGCAAAAACCTTAGTAAGTGTCTAAATGTATTTCCTTTAAATGAGTTTTCTCTGATTCTGATGTCCCTGTTTCTCATATCATGTGTTAGTTGTGCTTAGAAACAGTTTCCCAATGAACTTCTTCAAACTTGACACCTGGCAAGTGACTGCTTTTTCAAATCAGTGTCTGTAAGGAGACAGTGGAATTATGATTTAACATGTGTTCATCTCCAGGGTCATGCTTATGGTCTTTATGTAGGTGCTGCAGAGTTCCCACAGCTGCTTGGCCTCTGTTTTCACAGGGCCATAAACTCTTAGGAGAACATTGATAGCATCGTTCTTTCAAGTTTTCAGGATGATAAAGGCACAGTTTAAAGAACCAACTAATTCTACAGTTATTTAAGAAAAACCCAGTCCCCAGACTTTTCTCCCTAACAAGACCTCCAATATCTCCTTCCACAAAGCCAATTTCGTTCACCTCTTTTGATTCTTTCGATAATTACCTAAGTAACATGCTCATATTGGGACTCCTGGAAATTTTTCTTTATTTTTATTTTTTTGAGATAGGGTCTCACTCTGTCACCCAGGCTGATTGTGCAGTCATGGCTCACTGTAGCCTTCACCTCCTGGGCTCAAGCAATCCTCCCACCTCAGCCTCCCGAATAGCTGGGACCACAGGAGCCCAGCTTTTTTTTTTTTTTTTAGTAGAGACAGAGTTTCACCGTGTTAGCCAGGATGGTCTCGATCTCCTGACCTCGTGATCTGCCTGTCTCAGCCTCCCAAAGTGTGTATTTTTAAATTTTTTGTAGAGACAGGGTCTTTCCATGTTTCCTAGCCTGGTCTCAAATTCCTGGGGTCAAGCAATCCTCCCATCTTGACCTCCCAAAGCGCTGGGATTACAGGTGCGAGCCACCACACCCAGCTGGATTTTTCTGTTGTAGGTATTCCTGTACATCTCTCCACTCACTGCCAGCATCTGCATACTTTTCATGTTCCCATTTTTTCTGATAGAACTCTCTTAAAATTTACTTAAATCAGTGTTCAATGTTTACATCAATTTTTTTTTCTTTTTTTTTTTTTAGAGATAAAATCTTGCTTGGTCACCCGGGCTGAAGGGCAGTAGTACAATCATGGCTCATTGCAGCCTGAAACTCCTAGGCTCAAGCGATCCTCCTGTCTTAGGAGGATCTCAAGTAGCTGGGACTACAGGTGTGTGCCACCACGCCTGGCTGATTTTTTATTTTTATGTAGAGATGGGGTCTCACTATGTTGCCCAGGCTGGTCTGAAATTCCTGGGCTCAAGTGATTCTCCTGCCTCAGCTTCCTAAAGTGCTGGAATTACAGGTATGAGCCACCACACCCTGCCCAGTGTTTACATTATTATGACTGTATATACTCTTTGAAGCTGAGCCATGTATTAAAGTGATTTTTCCTCAGCAAAGCTTTTTGTAGATAATTGGAGTTAATACTTGTTTCTGTTGGTGTTTTTAACTATAATTTAATCCCAAATTCCATTGAGATCAGACCCTTCAAAGTATACTATCAGTTTCCCTCTCTTAAAGTCTCTTCTAGAATGATTTACTTGAATGCCTGGAACATAGCTATCTTCCTGGGACCTCCTTTCATCTTAACCCTGGGGATTCATTCCCGTCATCAGCTTTCTCATACTCAGGGTCTCCTATTACAGTGTCCTTTTCTTGGTTTACTCCTTCTTTTGATGAAACACATTTTCCAGTGGATTCCTGAGAATAGGTATGTAGACTATTCCATAGATTTGAGCCTTTACACGTTTTTAAATATCTCTTTTAGTCTGTCTTCATATTTGTTTGACAGCTGCTATATAAAATTCTAGGTTAGAAATCATTTTTCTCCTAATCAAAAGCCGTTCTGATTCTTGATCCTTGCCTTTGCCCTGTTTTTTCCTCAATGAAAGCTTGTACTTTGTCCTCAGTGTTTCACATTTCACAATGATATGCCTCATTGTGACTCTGTCTGTCTTTTCACCCATCATGCTGGGTACTCACTGGGTTCTTTAAAACTGGAAACTCATGTCCTTCAAGTCAAGGAATTTTTCTTTAACTTCTTTGCTGATGCTCTCCCCTTCATTTTCTCTATTTCTTATCAGAAGTCTTGCTATTTGGATATTGATTCTCCTGGACTGACTCTGTTTTCCCCTCCTGTTTTCCATCCCTGTTTCCTTTTGCTCTACTTTTTAAAACCTTGTTTATGGGGACATGCACAGTAGCTCACACGTGTAACTCCAGCACTTTGGGAGGCCAAGGAGGGCGATCACTTAAGGCCAGGAGTCCAAGACCAGCCTGGCCAACATGACGAAACCCCATCTCTACTAAGAATACAAAAATTAGCCAGGCATGGTGGCACACGCCTATAGTCCCATCTACTCGGGAAGCTGAAGCAGGAGAATTGCTTGAGCCAGGGAGGCAGAGGTTGCAGTGAGTTGAGATCACGCCACTGCACTCCAGCCTGTGTGACAGAACGAGCCGTGAGCCTTTATCTCAAAAAGAAAAAAAAAAAAAAACTTTTTTATGAAATATTTTTAACATTACAGAAATAAGCAGAATAGTATAATGAGTCCCTGTGTACCCATCATCCAGCTTCAATAATTATCCACGGTTAATATCATTTATACCCCTTCCCACAACCCTACTCTATTCTTTTGAAGCAAATCCCAGAAATTTATATCACTTAATCTGTAAATATTTCAGTAGCTCTTGTTTTTTTTTTGTGTTTGTTTGTTTGCTTGTTTGTTTGAGATGGAGTCTCGCTGTGCTGCCCAGGCTAGAGTGCAGTGGTGTGATCTCAGCTCACTGCAACCTCTGCCTCCCGAATTCAAGTGATTCTCTTGCTTCGGCCTCCTGAGTAGCTGGGATTACAGGCACATGCCACCATACCTGGCTAATTTTTGTATTTTTAGTAGAGACAGGGTTTCACCATGTTAACCAGGCTGGTCTTGGATTCCTGACGTTGGGTGATCCTCTCTTGTGGGATTACAGACATGAGCTACCATGCGTAGCTCGGTGTGTATCTTTAAAACAGGTCTCTTTTAAAAAATTTAACTATGATAACTATTCTCACAACTTAAAATATTAGCAAGAATTCCTTAATATCACATATCAAATCAGTGTTCAGATTTTATTGTAATTTTTTTTGTTTTATTATTACTTTGTGTTTGAATCAGTAAAGTGCACATATTATGGTGGGTTGATAGCTCTTAAGGCTCTTAAGTCTCTTTAGCTACACTGTTTAATATGATAGCCACTAGCCACATGTGGCTATGTAAATTGAAATTAAATCAAACAAATTCAGTTTCATCATTGCATCAGCCACATTTCAAATACATGTGTGGCTAATGGTTACTAGATGGGACAGTAGTGCAGGAGTAGAACATTTACCTTACTTTAGAAAGTTCTGTTGGCAGTGCCAATCTGTAGCCTCCTCTTCCGTATTTCTTTTACCTTTGGTTTTCAGCAGTTTGACTATTACGTATGTAGGTGTTTTTCTTGTATTTCTCTGGCTTGGAGCTCACTGAGCTTGGATCTGCAAGTTGATAGTTTTCCCCAATTTTGGAAATGTTTTGTCATTCTTCAGATTTTTTTTCTACTTCATTATGTCTCTTCTCTCATTCTAGAACTCCAGTTACATATGTGTTAGACCACTTAATGTCATCCCTCAGATCACCGAGGCTGCTTTTTTAAAATTTAATCTTTTTTCTCTCTGTTCTTCAGATTGGATAATTCCTATTGATCTGTCTTCAAGTACACTGCTTCTTTCTTCTATAGGCAACAACCTTCTGTTAAACTAATCCAGAGCATTTTCATTTCAGATATTGTACTTCTTAATTCTAGGATTTCGATTTGATTTTTTGCTGAATTTTCCTCTCTGGGCTGGCTCAGTTCTTTCAAAAGTTATCTTTAAGTCTCTGTCTAGAATAGAAAGGCTTTCTGCAAGCCTCATGGGGAGCTAAGTTGGGAAAGAGGGCTGGAGAGTCTTAGCATTCAGTATGCATTAATTCATTTCATTCACCACCCCTCAGCCATGTTTGGCTTTTACTTCTAAGTGCCATCTATTTTATCATCTCCAAAAGAATCAATCTTCAGTTTTATGCAGAGCCTAGAGACCTAAGAGCTGTCCAGCAGTGTAGAATCGAGGTTGGGATCTAGAAATCTTATTGACATCTTAATCCTCTCTCTTTTAACACTCCCCACCATACAGTTCCAGAGGTGCTACCAGTCCTAAGCCTTTGAGAATTCTGTGGTAGTATTGCTAATCCATCTGCTTTCCAGGTACCAAGATATTGTTGCTGTTATATCTTTTTCTTACTATCTCTATGAATTTATACCTTGAAAAATTTTTATTTTCCTTTAGTTATGGCAGAACTCTTTCCAAGAGAAAAGAAACCTAAATGTGATTTTTCAATCTACTGTCTCTGCCTAGAGGTCTGATAGCACCTTAAAAATTTTTCTTTCTTTCCTTCCTGCTGTACAACTTTATAATTAGGAACCTTAGAAGTGAACCTGTGGAGAAAGAATTAACCCTTTCCCATGTATAGTTTTTGTTATCCCTGTCTTTATTGCCTTTAAATCTCACATAAACATTGTTGAATGAGAGGCTGAATATTAATTAGAGAAAAGAAATAGACACAATGTCTCTTGTTTGTTTTTTTTTTTCTTTGCATATCTTTCTAAAACAAGGCAATATTCATCAGTCTGTTCGTTTAACCTTTGATTAGGGCAGAAAGTGTCGAAGACACTAGCTGCAAAGGACATGATCTTACAATGCTGTTTACTCATGTCTTAAGATCATTGTCAGCCAAATTTTGCTAGTATATGGCTCTGAGGAAATTCTGTCCCTTGCTACTCCTACATGTAGTTCCAGCCTGTGAGACAGTTAGTTGCAGATGGTGCTTGTCCCTGATATTTCATGTCTTGCATATGTCCGTTCACACTCAGAAAGCCCACAGCTGTAGCTATTATACCAGAAAAACTGGTAGACGCTTCCAAACGGAAGACCTTTTCAGCAGCTTCCATCAAATGAAGCAAACCAGCTTGGCATTTGCTGACGTTTTTTGACTGTTGTGCAAGCCAAACAAGTCAGTGTTGAAGCCTTCTTTGGTCTTCCAAGATCCACAATTGAGGACTGCACACACTGATTGCATTTGTGGGACCATGATGCTGCTTGAATAGACAATGAGTCCTTGAAGTGGTGGATCTTTTGGGAACTATATAGAGGTTCTCACGTCAGACAGTTGGATCCAATGTTGGATCTGCTATCCAAGTGATCCCTGTAGACCTAAAAATATTCCTCCTAAAATATTCCATAAGCAGTATGTAGGTACTGGAGTCTTAATTATGAAAGATTAAAACATTGTGCTCTCAAAAAATAAAATAGAAGATTACTTACTGAGATTGCTACTTCCAGTTTGACATATTCTTCATGTCCCATCAGGACTATAAACATATTCTTTAATCTCATCTGAGAAATTCAATGTATTACATATTCGTATTCAGTATTCATATTCAATATTCATATTCAATATATTACAAACTTGGGTCAGATTACCCAGGTAATAGAAATCCATGCTGACATCCTGAGAAAGGATAATGAATTTCACACAGTAGTTCTAAAATGGTAATAAAAGTGATTTGTGGGCTTTTATTTGTTAAATTCACAGCCATCTTTTTATCATGATTATAAACGAGGAGTTAATGATGAATAATGGAATCAGTTTTATGTTTCTAGTTTAATAAATGATTAGAAATAGATTTAACCTTGTGGTCTTTAGATTTAACCTTGTAATGCAGTAGAGGACTTTGAATTCTGGATGTAAAATAGCTACCTCTTTCTAGTCCCGGCTGATAAAAACCTGTATTATAGGTTGGAAATACAGAGAACTCACTCAGATTTTTCCTCAGCTGGATTGAATTTGAGAGCCATACCCTGCTCTCATTCATGTTTACTCTCTTATATTTTGCTATAGCATGATGTTTAATGAGATGGGGAAGAAAGTGCATTATTCATAATTTTTAATGAAGGGGTTATGCATAGGCTTTGTAGTATTAAGGTCCATACATATTTGAATAAAACTGCAGAAAAGCTTTGAGCCATGTGACCATGTACACATAAGGAATGTAAAATCTCATAGTTGGAAGGGATGGTCTTTAATTTTGTCTATTTCAAACCCTATCTGTTTTTGATGGAATTCACTCTGTATTGGCAGTGATGGGAAAATCAGTGCGTACATGAATGCCACCAGTGATTTACTACCCTATATGACCCATTCTGTCTTCATAAAACTCTGTTAGGCAGTTTTTTATTTGGCGTTTTTTTATTTTTGTTTTCTTTTTTTGAGGGGGGAGGGTACAGGGGTGGGGGGAATCGGAGTCTCACTCTGTTACCCAGGCTGGAGTACAATGGTGTGATCTCTGCTCACTACAACCTCTGCCTCTTAGGTTCAAGTGATCCTCCTGCCTCAGCCTCCTAAGTAGCTGGGATTATAGGTGCCTGCCACCACGCCCAGCTAATTTTTTGGATTTTTAGTAGAGATGAGGTTTTTTCACCATGTTGGCCAGGATGGTCTCAAACTCTTGACCTCAAGTGATCTGCCTACCTCGGCCTCCTAGAGTACTGAGATTACAGGCATGAGCCACCACACCTAGTAGTTTATATGAAATAAAATGTCTTCCTTTAGGTTCTATCTGTAGATCCTAGTTCTACATTTTGAGATTTTTATAGATTAAGTTTCTGAATCAAGGCACCCAGGGCCTGAAAGTCAATCAGGTGGGCCTGTAATGAAAACATACTCTTTGTCTGAATTTATTTTCTTTTTTTTTTTTTTTCTACTTCAGGAAAGCCTAAGTTTATGGAAGGACATTTATATAATGTCAGTTTTATTGTTCTAATTTTAGAAGAAAATCCATTTAGAAGGAGGGACCCTGGTAAATATAGTTGGAATCAGTTATAGTTTGGAGACTGAAGGAAAATATTATCTAATCACTTTTGAAAAGTGTGTGAATGAAAGATGATCCTTGACTTGGTAGCAGCCTTCCTTTCCAGGAACCCCTGAAGGAGTTGAAGGGCAAGTACTCAGAACAGCAAAGCACAGAACTTCTCGATTCCATAGCTCCCGCTGTGCTCCTGACAGTAATTTATGTCCCTCTATATGACCTGCTTCCCCAGTGGAACTACCCAGAGACAGCATGTGTGTTCAGTGGCCGCCCATCTGTCCAGTCATCTTGACAGCCGCGTGTCCTCCTTTTGTCCATGTAAAGTTGTACTATCCACCAGGCCGAACATAGGCACAACCGTGAACCCATTTGATTTCTGACTTGCAGCTAACTAATCTGAGGATGTATGCTTAATATCTAGAACCTAGATTTGATTCTAGATTGACACCTATTACTGCCTATTATTACTGAAGTCTGTTCTTCTATTGAATTTCTACTAGGTCTTCTATGACATACTAAATTAGAGTAGAATTTTAATCACCTTAACTGGTGGTTTTCTAGTCTTGCCTTCAGGATTTTTTGATTCAGTACAGTATTATTAAATGTTTTTGTTTGTTTTTTTTTTCAGTCAGGGTCTTGCTCAATTTCCCAAGTTGGAGTTCAGGGACACAGATACAGCTCACTGCATCCTCAACCTGCTGGACTCAAGTGATCCTCCCACCTCAGCCTCCCAAGTAGCTGGGAATACAGGTGCATGCCACCACACCTAGCTGATTTTTTTTTTTTTTTTTAACTTTTTATAGACTTGAGGTCCGGCCATGTTTCCCAGGCTGGTCTTGAACTCCTGGGCTCAAGCCATCCACCTGCCTTGGCTTCCCAAAGTACTGGAATTACAGGCGTGAGCCACCGCACCCAGCCTAAATGCATTTTTAAAGTTTAACAGTCACGCCTGTAATGCCAGCAGTTTGAGAGGTCGAAGCAGGTGGATCACTTGAGGTCAGGAGTTCGAGACCAGCCTGGCCAACATGGCAAAACCCTGTCTCTACAAAAATACAAAAAAGTTAGCTGGGCATGGTGGTGCACGCCTGTAATTCCAGCTACTCAGGAGGCTGAGACAGGAGAATCGCTTGAACCCAGGAGGCAGAGGTTGCAGTGAGCTAGATTGTGCTATTGCACTCCAGCCTGGGAAACAGAGCGAGACTTCATCTCAAAACCAAAACCAAAAACAAAACAAAACCCAGTAAGCCTACATAGCAAATAATAGCTCAAGTTGTCCCTCCACCCCCCTCTCTCCACCCCTCATTATTAACATAAACAATGTTCGAAGATGAGACAGCAGCAACCAAGGGCATATCAGTCAGTACATGTAGTTGTGTAGCTATCATGAAAGGGAAAAAGAAAGACTGGTCCCTTTCGGCTTGTCTGTCAGGCAGGCTGAAAGGCCTATGAAATTATTGCTGACTGTTTCTGGCAACTGAAACTATTTAGAGTAATTCTGTTGTAGGCTGTTAGAAGAGGAGTGGATTAGGGGCCAGTAAGATTTCTGAAGAGTAACTGGGTTGATCAATATAGTATCGCAGGGGGGTTATACATTGGCAGAAAGCAGTCACATATACATTTGCTAAGTTCTTGATTTATTTTATTTAACTTATAAAACTTTTTAAATGAGGAAGCTACCCAGGAGTAGGAACAGATGCAGTGTATCTTAGCATGATTTTCCCTTGACCCTGAGTTCCCTGTGAGGCACACAGCTGCCAGTGACACAGGTATGGTCCTATCAGAGTCATGAAAGTTGCTTAATTCTTGCTATACCACTGGCCTGTTACACTCAGGTAACCCTCAGGTAGGTTACCTATTATACTCAGATACCTAACTTACAGCAAATGTATATGTGACTGCTTTCTGCCAATGGATAATCCCCCTGTGATACTATACTGACCAATCTTTTTTACTGGCCCCTAATCCTCTCTTCTTCTAGCAGCCTACAACAGAATTACTCTATATAGTTTCAGTTGCCACAAACAGCCAGCAATAATTTCACAGGCCTTTCAGCCTGCCTAACAGATAAGCCGAAAGGCACCAGTCTTATCTTTTCCCTTTAATGATAGCTACACAGCTGCATGTACTGGCTGATGTGCCCTTGGTTGCTATTGTCTCATCTTTGAATACTATTTATGTTAATAGTGGGGGTGGGGTGGGGCTGAGGGACAACTTGAGCTATTTGCTAAGTAGAGTTTACTGTTAAACTCAGGTAACCCTGAGTATAACTGGTATAGCCAGTGGTATAGCAAGAATTAAGCAACTTTCATCTCCCCACCTGGAAGAATTTGCATTAATAGTTTCTAAGCAGAAGAGGCAAAATCTTACCAAAGGTCTCCAAGACCTTGGGTGATCTAGCTATGCCTTTCTCTCACTCCTTTCCTCATTGATTTCATCTGTTACTCCTCCCCTTCACTGTAGCCACTCTGGTCTCCTCACTGATCTTAGAATACAGTATGCTGCCACCTCATGACCTTTTAATTGACTGTTGTCCTTGTCTGGAATGTGCCTTCTCCCAATCTCCGTATCTGTATAGCTTACTTACTTCCTTTAGGTTTTTACTAAAGTAGTACCCAAAAAAGAGAATAGAATGATAGTTACCAGAGGATGGGGGGTGAGGGAAATGAAGAGAAGTAGGTTAATGGGTGCAAACATACAGTTAGATAGAAGGAATAAATTCTTTTTTTTTTTTAAAGTCTCACTCTGTTGCCCAGGCTAGAGTGCAATGGTGCCATCTTGGCTCACTGCAACCTTCACCTCCCAGGTTCAGCCTCCCGAGTAGCTGGGATTACAGGTGCCCGCCACCATGCCCAGCTAATTTTTATGTTTTTATTAGAGACAGGAGTTTCGTCATGTTGACCAGGCTGGTCTAGAACAACTAACCTCAAGTGATCCGCCCACCTCAGCCTCCCAAAGTGCTGGGATTACAGGCCTGAGCCACCGCACGCCTGGCTAAATAGTACCTTTTTAATAAGATTTTCTCCGTTCATTCCCAGTACTACCAATCTCCCTTATTCTTACCCCATAGCGTTTCATTATATTTTAATTACTACTGAATTATTTATTATCACCTCCTGCCCCTCTCCTACTAGAATGCAAATTCCAAAGGAACAACAGTTTTTGTCTATGTTTTTCCCCCCACTGCTCTGTCTCCCAGTGCCTGGAATGAAGTCTAGCACACAGTAGGTGCTAGATAAATATTTGTTGTTGAACGAGTCTTTTTGCTTTCATTTAAGAAAGTATTAACCAACATCAGATTCATCTAGTTCTTGAACCAAACTAAGTAAGGCTATCTCTTCATCTTAACAGAGTACCCCTAAACACAGCCTCTGCCTGTTGTTTCTCAGCAGCCTTGCATTCTGTCCTCTGACTCTGATATAATACCCTTTTATCTGGATAGGTCTGGTCCTGGTCCCAAGTTTAATCTGAAGACTATAATCACAAATTCATTTTCTCTCAAGAAGGCAGAACAAATATTAGAAGCTGTTGCTTCCTTGATATTAGGAAAGGCAAGATCACAGCACATTAATGGACCCTATTTTCAAAATTGGAGATGATTAGGAACATAGCACAAGTTAACTGTGCTCACATTTTGGGAATTTTTTCTGTTGCTAACTTATGTCTGTATGTCTCTTTAAAATAAAACCAAATTGCCACCATGAGACTATTAAATTATTATCCTAAAGAGCCTTAGACTATTTTGGTTAATATTTCTAGAGTAAATTTGGAAGCTCAAACTCAGTAAATGAAGAAGTTCAAGGATGCTCTTACAAGTGTTTTGGAGCCTCAGGAAAAACTAAAATCATTTAGATGCCCAATAGGAAATGGCGCTGAGCAAGCCCTTTTTACTGTGAAAACAGAAAAGCCTGTCTTTTTCATAATCCTGATAAACACAAAGGTGTAAGGAGGCAAACTTTAAAAGCAAGGGCCTGCCAGGCGCGGTGGCTCCCGCCCGTAATCCCAGCACTTTGGGAGGCTGGGGCGGCAGATCACTTGAGGTCAGGAGTTCAAGACCAGCCTGGCCAACATGACGAAACCCCATCTCTACCAAAAATACAAAAATTAGCCGGGCATAGTGGCATGAGCCTGTAGTCCCAGCTACTCAGGAGGCTGAG